GAACATTATTATTCCAATTAACTTTACAAAATATGTTATGACATTCTTTTTGTTCAGGTGATTCAAGTCGAAAATGATCCGTCTTGAAATTGAGTAATTTAAAGTTAATAAACCAGTTTGAAGACAATATTTACCAACCACTAATATTATCGTTAAAGCATTTTGAAAACCAAAGAGTATTATCCAACTATTCTGTCATTGTTTAACGGAGTACTCAACAATATTAATCTTCTGTCACTTAAAATATAAAATCTGGGACTTATTGTCAATTTTTGAAGTTTATTTAAATGTTATTACTACAATTAAACACTCAAATTAATCTCTTAAAACAATTTTGTCAACAATCATTAATATCAACTTCATTTTCTCAATATTAAAAGATAAATTGAATTACCCATTTCCATTATTTGTTTAATATTCGGTCGAAAATTTAACCAAACATATACAAACAATAAACATATTAGCATCATTCTCAAATTTTCGCTCTATATACATGTATTGAAAATTTTTCCCTCCAAACCATGATCATTACAGTAATACAGTAATAACCATATGGAGTGAGATTTTCTTTCATCTAAGATAAATAACATACATACAAATAGAAACATCATACTCATCAAATTATGTTAGCTCATGATTCCATATTTATTTAAATATAATTTACTGATAAATAAATGTCCAGAAGTGCTATTTTTGTTGTGTGATAAAGAATTAAATAGTCAGATTACCATCTGGTTTATAATTTGACTTAAGTTTCTTTCTTGTGATTTTTTTTGTCACCTCATTACAAATGGGCAAATGAGTAAACATTATAAATACTTGTGTTTACAGACTTACATTCATATCTATCATTTATCTGTTCAATTTTCATGAGTTAAATCACATTTTTATCATAGTGAAATTATACTAACTGGTTTATGAATGATTTGCTTGTCAATCTAATCGTAATGGAAATATTACTGCATCAACATTTCTTTTTTGAGTTCGTGTTTGAGTATTTAATAAATATGCATGAAACTTTTAAATATTTTCACTCCCTCTACTATTAGTAAACCACAATCGGACGTTTATCACTTTGTTCCATTTCTTAACTGTGTTTTATTAAACATTTCTTGTTATGATTGTTACCGCTTTTGTTTTGTTCGTATTTTTGTATAAATATATTGTATTTCTACAATTCATTCAAAATGAACACGCGACCTTTCTATTTATAGAAATCTTGTCTTTCAGGTTTTCTACACACACACACTCACACATACACTACTGGTTATACCTACCAGTAAAATGACAATGATTGATGTCCGACTTGACAAGAAGAAATAAACAAAAGTTTCGTTATGTTGTTTTTCTCATTTATTTATTCTCGATCTTTTTAAATCAAGATTTATATCGATATTCCTCAGACTTTTTTCAACCTAATACTCAGTATATAATTTTAGAAAGGGGACAATTTAACGTAGATGATAATGTAGAGTAATGTTAACTAAACATAATAGAGGAAGCATACACATCTATGTACACAAGCTTATAGTTGAGTGTATTACACACCTTTTCATAAAAAAAAATGGTATGCGTAATCTGATAAAATCAAGATGGAATCTGGTAATTTTCAGTTTTACGATTTATGGTAACATTAATAATCGAGATTGTGATTATGAAATAACAAGTGTTCAAGAATACTACTTACTGATTATTACTGTTGTTGGTGTTTGTAACAATGATTAATATGTAATTTACATTGTATTCATATAACATAAATCATCATAAATATGGTCATATTACCTGGAAGTTTAAGTGAATGTAGAGAAAAATACAGAATATAAACCTTTTTATGATCATTCCGTTTTTTTTCCGAATTTTTCATTGAAACTATATCTAATTACAATAAGGCATACACTTTAAGACGACTTTCATCGTCTGCTTAAATTAATTATATATATATATGAATCGGCTGAAAGTACTGGAAAGTTATTGTATTCTAGTTCAAGATCATTACAGAATTACTGCAATTAGTTAATGATGCAACTCAATTCATTTTGCATAACACAGTAATCGAATAATCATTTACGTGATTGGCCTAGTTTAATTATGAAGTTTAATCAATACTGAAATAAATGTATAGTGTTTTTATAACTTTAGTTAAAAATTTAATTTAAAATTGTTCTTTTAATTGGACTAAGTACGAGGATCCACGAATAACAATTGATGTCTGTGGTAAAAAATATATTTCATTTAGTGGTTCTTAGAGCAGTAATAATTTTATGCTTACTTATTACTTAACTTACGCCTTTTACCCCTCATGAAGGAGCATAGGCCAACCAGTAGCATTCTACATACAACTCTGTCCTGGACAATCCTTTCCAGTTGTTTCCAGTTGCTATTCAACATTTTTATGTCTGCTTCCAATTCTCGACTCAGCGTGTTCTTTGCTCTTTCTATTTTTTGTTTCCCTTCAGGATTACAAGTTAGTATTTGCCTCATGATACAGTTTGATGATTTCCGAAATGTATGTCCTATCCACTTCCATCATCTTTTTCTAACTTCCTCTTCAGTTTGAAGCTGGTCTGTTCTCTCTGTTTTCCCTTGTAGATTCCAATAATTTAATAACTAATATTTAAATAGTCATTCAGTTATATTTTAGAAATGATCCAGCCATTATCACATCTATCCTGTCAATCAAAGTATTTAATAATCAAATAATCAGTTTCACTGATAATAACTTATTGATTGCCTTATATTGGTGTTTAAAATTGGTGGAATTGAATGATCATTTACATATTTTTAGAGCTCAACTATAACATAATTCAAGCATTGTAGTTTAAAAAAGAATTCACTCTACTCGTGAATGATTGAGTAATGATATATTCTAAACTATCAAATGATGGGAAGGTATTGACTTCATTTAAGTTGTGATAAATTAGCTAGATGTCTGAACATTATTGTAAAACCACATTAATTGTTGACAATTATAAACAGAATGATGAGAAGTTTTATACCGAGGTTTGATCTTTGTTAATATTCCTAGTGTCTAAGTACTTTTAGATAGAAATATTTAAAAAAAATTAATTTTCGGCTTTGTATCTTCAGTAAAGTGTAGCAAATTATCTTAATTATGTGAATACTGTATTTTGAAAATATGAACACATTTTCTTCATAAACGTTAACATATTGTTGGTAGAAAATTTTTTAATTTACTGGTTTAACTCTAATAAACACTTTTTACATTGTATCCAAAACTTTTTTGAGAGCTTTTAGTGTTTCTAAGTTATAAACTAACATCAAAAACTGCCTTATTGTTCTTTTCATACCGATAACTAGATTTTAACAAATTCTGGTAACTCCATTAATTAAACATTAATATTGATTATTCTAAAAGGACTGATTTCAGAGAAAATGGTTTCTAAAAAATGAACATAGTTTCATCATCATCATTATCAAATTTTTCTTCAATTAGTTTTTCATCATGGCTCTACACTAATATACATGATTTATAATAATGAAATAATAATGCTACGTTGCACAATATATTAAAAAAAAGAAGAAGGAACTAACACAATATTTTGATGAATGGTTTGTAGTATAGTAGTTATGTTGGAATGAAAAAACGAATGTTGAGAATAAGTAAAATACAAAAGCTGAAAGAAATACGGAAATAAATTATAAAAGTTCTGCTACAAACTCCCATACCGTTGGCCAAGGTAGCAAGAGTGGTTGTACAAAGTTCTTTTCGATGCAAAGGTTTGGTTTGTGAACACGGATTCCAATGGCTTCAACAATATGCGAAATACGAGTTCGTAAACCATGTGACAAATTTGATGGAATATGGTGGATAGTCTTAAAAGCTTTATTCAGTTCAACTTGGTGACCTGTGACCACTAAGTGAGCGAGAACAGAACTCTTAGTCACTCTTTCTTGTCCTTTGCTTAACCAGGATGGTTGGTGTTCTGTTATGCGATGACGGACTTGCCGAATTGTATGCCCTATATAACTGGCTCCACAGGAGCAGTTAAATTGGTAAATGCATATGGATGTGGCGAATCCAAGCAATCTGTTTTTATTAACCCTTCTTATTATAGGGCGGTTGTAGAAGACGACACTCAGTCTGGCTGCATTAAATGTTTTCTGTGCCGCCTTTATTAACTTTTAAGTCACAATTTCTACGGTAGTATCATTTAGGGATTGTAATTTTAAGAACAGAACTTGCTTCGGAACGGTACTTACCCTTATCGTTCTTTTCATATGTTTTTTGATGAATTTCGTTGGGTATTCATCCCTGCTAAGCAAGTTACGAATATTAACCAATTCATCTACAAGAATGTCATCCGAGTAAATCATTCTAACACAATGAGTCAGGATCTTTATCAAGTTTCTTTTGTATCTGATTGGTACAGCATTATAGAAATTAGTGTATTGTCCAACTGTACACTTTCTATGTATCCCTCTTTTTAATGTTCCATCTGCTCTTCTAGTTAGATGGTGGTTGGAGGTAGTCAACAGGAAACCCTGGACCCGGGTTTCGTGCTACTTGGCACTCGTCAGCAAGGTGTACCTGTAATCTTTGAAGGAACTGGTGCTCCCTGGGGGATTCGATCTCGTGTCACCCAGCTTCACAGTCAGAGACGTTACCACTGAGCTATTCGAGCCGTGGCCACATTGCAACATGATCGACAGCATTCGATCTGCACTAATAAGGACTAGACAAGCATGACATTGATCACCACCCAGTGATCAATCAATTGTGCTCTTCTAGTTAATTGGACATTTAGAAACGATATGCTATTATTATGTTCTTCCTCTAGTGTAAAAGTTATCGATGGGTCATCATTGTAAATCATATATATTAGTGTAGAGCCATGATGAAAAAACTAATTGGAAATAATTTATGTTCCATGTTTCTAGCTTTGATTCTCTAAACTGTAATAAATCTTGTTCTAACATATGAAAAGACATTTTATGGGTTTCTTTAAAATACTTTTTGTTTTATTTTATTGACTTCATAGGTTCACAAAAAGATGTCATGGAAGAATTAGACTCAGAAACTAGAAATGATTTAAAAAGGCAGAAAAAGCGTGGAATATTTCCAAAAGTTGCTACAAATATCATGAGAGCATGGCTTTTTCAACATTTAACAGTAAGTTGTAAATACCTATGAATAAATGATATTTGTAAAGTACATTGTTTTAAAGTTTTTTTCCAGCATTTTTGGATAAATACAATCTAACGCTTTCTATTTGAAAATAGTTTGAGGGTTTTTTATCAGCTAAGTCGATATAATTTCATAATGAATTATAACAATGTAATAAGGTTTATGTATGACTTAATATCCAGTTTCACAAAGATTGCAAACAAAATGAATGATTGAACACACAACTTATCACTTATAAAATTTGATGAGCCCTAAGCAAGAACTTTTAAAAAGTGAATTCTGTGCTGTTTATCATATTTGACGCGACTTTAACTATCGTAGACTAACTAGGGGGCTCTACGTAAAATTGATGATCGTTTTTCTTTTACCAGTTTAACTTATTAGCTATCCATGAGACATTATGAAGCTAATTACACATCAAATTCAGTTTGTCGGTGACATAATTCCAAAGAAAATCACTGAGCACTATAAACAACTTGAGATTAGGAAATAATTACACCACTACGTTTAAAACTTTTTAAACAGGTAATTCTGACACAAGAAGCTGTTGTTAACATTTTAGGTAACGAAGGGTCCTTGAGTCCTAAGAAAGATAAACATAGCTAATGTACTAAATAAATAATTAAGAAATTTCAATAGTTGAGATCATGAGTCATTTGAAACTAGACCACCATGGAAAAACTGGAAGCATTGGACGGCAGTTTTTTTCTATTGTGAGTCTCCTCAGCAATGCGCATCCACGATCCCGCCTCGCGATATTCCAACCCAGAACATATCAATCCCACAATAGGAGGAAAGGACTGTCCAGTTTTTCCAAGTTTTCCATGGTAGTCTAGCTTCAATTGACTCATGATTTCAACTATTGAAATTACTACAATATCTACAAAAACCCCTTCTGATATTAATTAAGAAATCCTTCAATTGGTTATTGTCATAGTCAGTTCTCTGAATAGATTGTATACCAATAATATAGTCAATGAATTGATTCAGACATATGAAATGTATCTTTAGTATTTCGATCATTCTTGATGATATCTAATTACTCATTAATCTACAACTACAATGTTTATTTGTGGCACTGTTTTGCTTGATTACAATAAATGAAAAAGACAAAAAAACATTCAATATATATTTTGTCAGTGTTTATGCATCATCGAATTAACTTGATTCAGATGATGAGTTTTCTTTTTCTTATTTACAAAATTATAGGGAATAATTATATTTTATGCTTAGGAAAATAATTAGAATTTCTTTCTAAACATTTGATTATTTGTGGTTGAATAACTTTAAGTTCAGGTGTTAATCACTGGTTACTTCAAAAAGAAAAAGAAAAACGTCGACTTGAAGTCATATTCTGTCAATTTAATAAATAAAGTTTCTTATCAGTAGAAATCGATGTATATAATTAAAGGAAGATATGCATAGTTAAAAAGTATACACTTAAAAATCATTTCATCTAAATGTTGATCATCTGGAAAGTATGTTAGAGAATGGAAAACTAGTGTTTATCTGTCTTAGTATTCACATCAGAAGGGTTAGAAGGAGTTTCACAAAAGGACAAAACGGCCGTCCAGTGCTTTCAGGTTTTCTATGGTGGTCTAGCTTCAACTGACTCATGATCTCAACCATCGAAATTAGTATTGTTTAATTCAGTTCATTAGCTTGATCTACATTATTTAAAATGACATCATAAACTAATATCTTAATATAATCATTCGATGAATTGAAAATATCATACAGTATGAATCCTGTACATGATGATAGTATATACCATTAAGTCATTAATTACTTTTACTGTTGTATATAGAATGAAGGTAGATATTTAAGTAATATACTATACATGTAATATTTATTTTTATAAAGCATCCTTATCCATCGGAAGAACAGAAGAAACAATTAGCTCAAGATACAGGATTAACTATTTTACAAGTAAATAATTGGTAAGTTGAATTAGAATTGTTTCATTTATGTTTATTTTAAATTCGCTTGGTTAAAAACTTAATTGAATATGTTATTTAACTACACAATAACATGGATTAGACTAATTGCATATGTTGTTAACATTTCATATTATACTGTAGTGAACAAGAACTCCGGTGTGAAGAAACCAACTTATTATTTAATACAAAATTACATAGTGCCTTTGTAAAATATGAAAACCATTCATTAAATACATTATTTGCACATCTTGTATCAGTTGTCCTTTACATGCTTTATGATCCCTCCGATTCTGTTGTTTTTATAACTGCTTTCTGTTTTCTTTGACGTCTTCTTCAAGTCAATCTTCTGTTGTCAGGCATTCCACTTCCGACTCGAGCCATATATTACTTATATCTGTCAGGATAAGTAGCATACAACACAATACTTAGGGCTAAATATTCGAATTATTAAAAAATTTAATAAAACAGAAGAGATAGACTCAGCAAACGAGTTTTTATTACGACACATTATGGATAAAGTCTTGAAATTCCCTTTAACTCAGCAGCTTACTAATCTTAATCTGTAAGTTAGCAAACTAACAATTTGATCCTCTTAAAGAATTGATATGCACCAAGTTTATTTATTAGGCATTAAAAAAGTAAATGTATCGTCTATTTTCCTTCTTAACGTCTCCGGCAGTTTGTTCAGTAATATTTTGTTATTTTAAGGGAATTTTCGACATTCGACGATTTTAGCCCAGAAATAATGGCAAACAATCTTAATCAAAACTAATTACTGTATAATAGTTTAAACCTACTTATCAGTACATATTCAACACTTCATGCACAAACCTAATTTATAATAGTAAAATATCAACGTATTGACCAATAATCGTTTTTTTACCCAAGCGATTTGAAAGTTTAATATATGATCATATATGAAATCTGTGTAAATGCTGATGAAGTATCATAAACAATGACGAAATAACCTTGCTGCTGATGATGTAAAACACTTTAATTCTGTATATAACCTTTTGATGAGTGGAATTAGAAACGATCTGTTGTCTTTTGTTTTTTATGATATAAGTATTATCTCCTAAAATGATTCGAATTGTACCTTTTATAATTCAATGCAGCGTAAACTTTTGTATACGGTATTTCAAAAGAAATATTTAAATGTATTTCAGAATGAGTTTAAAGACTATCCATCAACGAAACATTGATTATTTCCATAAAGTTTAAAGACCACTTTCATTTTAGTATACATATAAGAATATGAATACAAAGATAACAAATATGAACCTAATCAACAACATTGTTTAAATAATTATTCATTCTTATTTGATCTTTTTATTATGTTCTTCATTTAGGTTTATTAATGCACGTCGAAGAATTGTACAACCTATGATTGACCAGTCTAACAGAGCAGGTGAGAAATAAATCAACGTGGAGAATAATTTTTGATTATCTTACATATAACCATTAATAAACATGTTTATTTGAAGAACTGAAACTGAAAATGCTGATGAATGATTTTAACCCCATGAATGATCTCAGTTGCAATATAAGATGAAATAAATTCCGTCCAACCATTTAGTTTATCTTGTTATCTGATTGCTAGTCTTGTATATAGTTACCTGAAGTTTGGAATATTAAATCTATTTGAATTATATAGATACTACTTATCAATCTTGTGCAGTTTGCCTTGTTGTAGATTAATCAAGTTACGTTAAGTGATATTGTGGTAATTACTTTGTTACCTAATCGAAGAAGTAACATCATTTTTCAAGAAAATATTTTCAGAAAACAAATACTAGATATCAGTCAGGCGCCAAACTTATTCACTGGTGTGATGATCAGATCACAGAATGATCATTTTCCTTGTTCACAGTCTAAGTGATCAAGAAATAATGGATTATGTGAGTGATTGGTTAATATCATACACTTGGTTCCGTGTATTATATTGACGAAAGCAAGAACAAAGAATTGAATAGAATATCATGAATTCATTTTATCTCGTTAGGTTCTTAACACCTGCTTACAATCTATAACCTTTTAAGATCAAAACCGTCGTATAGTTTATGTTAAATCCAATTCTTTGTTCTTATTCTCATCAAGAATTTTTAGTGGAGTTCAACCGGGTCTGTTGTGAGATAGTAATCCATAAGATACAATAGTGGATGTGTCGCTCAACTTCGTGGATTAGTTGAAGTTATATATTAGTATCCATTAGATGCCAACTCAAAGGTCTTGACGTTAAGCGCTCGCGAGATGGGATCGTGGATGCGCACTGCTGGGGAGTCCCATACTAGGACGAAACAACCATTCAGTGTTTCCAGGTTTTCCATGGTAGTCTAGATTCAATTGACTCGTGATCTCAACTATTGAAATTACTACAATATCCACAAAAAACCCCTTCTAATACTAATTCGTTAATAATTCATTCAATCAATCTCATGAAATAAATATCAACATATTTGAAGATGACGGTTCCAATTTATATCAACTTAATGAATTGACATAATTTTCATTCATTTATTCTGATATGAAAATCTGCAAGTTTATCATAACCTAATGAATAGGATAATATTTTACTGAGAATTTTATGCCCTTTTTAAAAAAAATATGATAAAATGGTTTTGACAGCCAGATTATAGTAAATGAAGTGTTGAATAATAATTTTATTTACTTAGTAAACTAGATCATATCAGAGAGAATAGTTTAATTTAAATTAGAAACAAATTGAATTTGATACAATTTTGTTTATTCATTAAATGATTGTACTTTTATGAAATATTTTTGTTTTAAACTCTTTGTTTTTTTGTAATTTTTTAAAAATTCTTTAATGTACAGGACCACATGGTTATTCAATCAGTGACAATATGCCCCCATGTATAGACTATATGGAAGGTGGTCCACCGTATTCAGCTTATACCAGAGCAGCTCAAGCTGCAGCCGCTGCAGTAGCTGGTAAGGATATATTCAACTTATTCAAGATTAAATAATTAAAATCATAGATTGCTTAAAAAAGGAAATTGATGCGATTCTCATAACGTAAATGAGAGGACAAAAAGTGATGTAGATTTACATTTATTTCACTTTCCAAAGCATATCGACCATTCTTTAACCAATAAACCGATTAAAATATTGCTTTTAGTCACATTTAATGATAAGTTAACAAATAGTATTTGGAAGGGAAATATACAGAGTTATAACAAAACAGATTACTGCATGAAGTTCACACTAAATTAATACATAGAATATAATTCTGAATAAATATCTCACTGAAAATGAAGTGAATATTATACTGAGAAGTTATCACATTGAATTAAATACAGAAGTTATGTTGAACGTGATCTCCCATTCTAACTAATATAGCCAGAACATTAAACTGCTATTGGACATAAAGTTTAAGATTTACTAACCTAGTAGAGTTATTTCTAATAGTTTATAATGAGACTGATGAAATTAATGACTATTTTTAGAAATTAACCCACAATTTGAGACTTTAAACGATACTGGATCCTCGTTGTGCTTTAGCATTACTTAAGTGAAAATAAAATGTAAAGTCAAAAAAGAATTCAGTTATTTATAAAGGTCTATGTTATAACTTGTGGGTTTGTGCTCTTTCTGAGCTTCTCAGAGCTTCCTTGAGTTCACCCGTGGACCGCCCTCACAGTCTACTTATAAACATGAATGTTTAAAACTGATCACTTATCCAGAAATTAAATTTTAGCCCCAAACGATAACAACTTGTGATGAAAATAACATGTAAACAGGTGTACCTTAAATAAAAACAGTATACTCATAACTGTTAGTGTGGTGTGTGCTATTGATGACGATAGATATAAGTAGTATGTGTGATTAGTCGAAAGTGGGATGCCTGGCGGCAGAAGGTTGAGATCAAAGAGAAAAGAACGAGAACAGAGAGCGATTGGTATGGAAATGAAGGAACAATAAAGCTTAAGACAGTTGAAGGACATTTTGCAAATGAAGTATTTACTGTATGGTTCTTGATCATTACATTAGTACTAGGAATCATACTGTTAAATATGTATTGCCTTATATCATAAATAGATTGATCTTATCTTCTTAATCATTTACATGATGAGGTGTTTCGACTTCGCCAAGCGACAAATCAACTAATTCTTTAATATCTCAAATTTTAATGAACCCCATGTATATGATCAAAGGGATGAAGAGATGCATAATGGCAATGAAAAGTGATACAATTTATTAAATCTATGTGTACTCTGAAGAGAAATGAACACTTATCATATTTCCATGTGATTATTTCTAACTAATAGATACCCCAAAATAGAAGTCAGTAACTTGCTTTGTTGGATGAACAATTCTCTATAATTATGTTGCATAAAACATATGATTACATGCTTTAGATAAGTTGATTTATGAGATTTAGAAAATGCAAAAATGTATATTTCGAGGGATTATAAATTTTTTTGTATTACATCAAGTAATTTACAGTTCTTAATTTAAAAATAAAGATTAAACGCATATTATTGTCATTATTGTTATTATTACTATGATTATTATTTATAGGATTCTCAAATCATCCTACATCAAATGATGTTTATTTAGCCGCTGCTGCCGCAGCCGCTGCAGCTTCTGTTGGTTTTGGCAATAGTTCCATGTTAAACAATTCATCAAGTCAGGATAATTCGATTCGATTCCCTACTAATAATAGTCGTAGTGACCAATGCGTTGGTGATATTTCACCAAAGACTAATGGAATAGATTCACTTGTTATGCCAACAGATTATACGCTACCAGATCGTGTTAGTATTGTAAATAATCGTTTGCCCCATAATTCAGTATATTCAGATGACATAAATGAAATTCCTTCGAATTTATCTTCTTCATCATCCATGTGTAATATACTAACAAATAATCCATTTAATAGCTCTGGTATAGATTATACAACAGTAAATAGTGCATACAATAATAGTAATACTACCCATCATCATCATCAGCAGCAGCAGCAAAATAATCCTCGTTATTCCACTGTGATGCCATGTTCTAACTCTTTTGACGCATCAAATGGATATTCATTAAATCATCTTTCATATCATAATTATGGTTCCAATAGTTTTGATACAATGTCCACATCATCGACAAATTATAATACTAATCTTATACCATCGCATTATAATACCACACCAACAACAACATATTCACCTAAAAATTATCGTATCAATGATACAGACAGTAACAGTTTTATGAACTCTGAAGATATTTTAACGACTACTAATAGTTCAATTATTCATAATAGTAGTATGTCAGATGATACAATCTTAGGCATAAATACTGTTACTACACCATCACCATCAATGACAACATGTAAAAATAACGATATAGTTGAAAATGATGGGATTAACATTTATTCAACTTGTTTAGGTACTATTGGTTCAACAAAATAATGATTCTTCAAAAATAAATAAATCTGGATCATTTGAAGAATATTTCAAATATTTTTTTGTTGTTGTTGAAAAACCTCTTTCGTTTCTTCTTGATGAATGAATGTAAAGTTATTTTTTTCTTCTTTTCCTTGACTTCAACAACAACAGCAACAACAAAAAAAAGACAAAACAAAATAAATGGGCAAAAATCCGAGGTTTATTTCCGGTGTTTGAATAAACAGAGTAGATTTGAGTAAAACATAAATAAACATATGGAAATGATATGTATTAGGGAAAAGTGAAAAAAAGGGAATAATTCCCTTACACGTATAACTATTACACACAAACACCTGAATGTACTTGAAACAAATTATATGGAAACTTATGATTTATTTGTTTACTGTTGATTTTTATTTATAAGAGATCTGAAAAAAGTGTTTCTCTTCTCTTCTGTATTGTTTTTTTTATATTCATATTAATTCATCATATAGTTTATTGTTCTTCATTAATACTAATCTGACAGGCATGCTTACCTTACTTAATTGTATTTACATTATTCATAATCGAAGTTCTAAAAAACCAAAACAAAACCAAATACCAGGACAATTCATTCTTTCTATTCTTATTTACACAATTTATTTTAACTTTCAATAAAATAAATAAATAAAGGATTCGAACATAAACTGACTGAACTGTAAAAGAACTACTACTATATACTTATTTTTGGATAAGTTAAAAGATAGACAAAGACATTTAGACATTCAAACATATACAAAATTACGTTCAATACAGGGTATCATTTGTTCTGAATTATTTTACCTTCAAAACCAACTTATATATACATATATGATGTTTTTGAGATGGAGAGGGAGACTTCTTCAATTCATGCCTTCTTCATTGTCTTTTTTCTTTTTCTATTTCTCAAATTTCATTTTTCTGAAACAGGTTTCTTTCTAAAACCTATCTGATATGTTAAACAGTAAAAATTCTAATAAAAGCAGTAATGATGTTCATAACAATAATATTATGATAAATTTTGACAAGGGTAAAACACATTAACCAATAAACCCTCCACTGATATGCTTCTGAAATGTCTGTTACTGCATCATAAACAGATTTCTTATTTTCTGGTCGAGTGAAAAGTGTGTTCAATAGTTGTTGTTGCAAGGCTAACAACTTCTGCTGTGCTGTAATATTAACCGCAACTGTTTCTAAAGAAATCGCCATTTTCTTTAGTTTTTTTTCCCGTCGCCACTGTTATAATCCTGATTCTTCTTACGGTTATGACCCAGCTATTCTATTGCTTAGTATTCTCGGACACCGATTCACTCGACAAGTCCCCAAATCAAACACGGTTGAACAGGAAAGAGATTATATTCCGAATAGCAAGTCAGAAGCCAGTAGGAAGCACAATAGGGAAAACGTCAGTATATTTATAGTTTTTACATAAGAAGATTCTAGAGTCTTCTCCAACTATCGACCAGTGCTGATTGGATAAGAATTAGCCAATCAGCGTGCACCAAAGCAATCATGCATTGAGCATGCTTTAATCTAGTCTATGTCCCGCTAACACCTCCCCTCTGAGCAGATTCGTAGGATCTGGTGCTAGGGTCCAACTGCGACTGAGTGACTGGCTTGTGCTTTCGATTAGTCCATCGTCTAGGCAATGAAGAATTATCACTTTTTCCTTGCACAGAGACTGACATGTCTGTTCCCGGCGTTTTGATTTTTCTTAGAAAAAAGTATGCATAACTTTTAATTCTTCAACATTCTCCTCCTCCGCGAAACAATGTCGGATCCTTATATCTCCAAGTTACAAATAATAGGACTTTATTTAAACGACGTTTCTCGCATTGAATGTCGGATCACTAGAACGACTAGATGATAATGAACGACCTTTGATTTGAGGTCAAAGTTTAATTCTTCTGAAGCATTACTTTCAAATCCATTAGGAATTTCATCAGTGGATAATGGATCATTACGGAAATCATCATCTAACAAAATTAAATTAGACTTTTGACCATAATATGACTGAGCTGATATATTTTCCTGATTTTTATGAGAAATTTCATCAAAATAACATGCATTGTTCTGAGAACCCATGTCTGATACATTGTCATTAGAAATCGGATAAGCTGATTCAATATGAGTTTCTGTCTCACAATGATTTTGAGTAACATTCAGTATATTTGGGTTCGTTGTGTCACTGCAGTTATTTTCTGAATACGAGTCCCCATAGCTTTCTTGGCTAATATCACGTGGACCATAAATTTGTTCTAGCTGAAAGTTATTTTCAGAGCTCGACAGGACCAGTAGTGCTTCATTCAATTCTGGACTCCGGGCTTCATCTACAGGGTCTGACTCTTGATAATCTCGTATTGCCACAACTTTATGAGCATTCAGCACAGGATTTTCTTGCTGTGAGCCGGAAACGTTACAAATATTACGTTCTGATTCAGGTATAAAGGGATTTGAACCCTCCACTAGATATGCTTCTGAAATGTCTGTTACTGCATCATAAACAGATTTCTTATTTTCTGGTCGAGTGAAAAGTGTGTTCAATAGTTGTTGTTGCAAGGCTAACAACTTCTGCTGGTGCTGTAATATTAACCGCAACTGTTCTAAAGAAATCGCCATTTTTCTTTAGTTTTTTTTCCCGTCGCCACTGTTATAATCCTGATTCTTCTTACGGTTATGACCCAGCTATTCCTATTGCTTAGTATTCTCGGACACCGATTCACTCGACAAGTCCCCAAATCAAAACACGGTTGAACAGGAAAGAGATTATATTCCGAATAGCAAGTCAGAAGCCAGTAGGAAGCACAATAGGGAAAACGTCAGTATATTTATAGTTTTTACATAAGAAGATTCTAGAGTCTTCTCCAACTATCGACCAGTGCTGATTGGATAAGAATTAGCCAATCAGCGTGCACCAAAGCAATCATGCATTGAGCATGCTTTAATCTAGTCTATGTCCCGCTAACACCTCCCCTCTGAGCAGATTCGTAGGATCTGGTGCTAGGGTCCAACTGCGACTGAGTGACTGGCTTGTGCTTTCGATTAGTCCATCGTCTAGGCAATGAAGAATTATCACTTTTTCCTTGCACAGAGACTGACATGTCTGTTCCCGGCGTTTTGATTTTTCTTAGAAAAAAGTATGCATAACTTTTAATTCTTCAACATTCTCCTCCTCCGCGAAACAATGTCGGATCCTTATATCTCCAAGTTACAAATAATAGGACTTTATTTAAACGACGTTTCTCGCATTGAATGTCGGATCCACTAGAAACGACTAGATGATAATGAACGACCTTTGATTTGAGGTCAAAGTTTAATTCTTCTGAAGCATTACTTTCAAATCCATTAGGAATTTCATCAGTGGATAATGGATCATTACGGAAATCATCATCTAACAAAATTAAATTAGACTTTTGACCATAATTTGACTCAGCTGATATATTTTCCTGATTTTTATGAGAAATTTCATCAAAATAACATGCATTGTTCTGAGAACCCATGTCTGATACATTGTCATTAGAAATCGGATAAGCTGATTCAATATGAGTTTCTGTCTCACAATGATTTTGAGTAACATTCAGTATATTTGGGTTCGTTGTGTCACTGCAGTTATTTTCTGAATACGAGTCCCCATAGCTTTCTTGGCTAATATCACGTGGACCATAAATTTGTTCTAGCTGAAAGTTATTTTCAGAGCTCGACAGGACCAGTAGTGCTTCATTCAATTCTGGACTCCGGGCTTCATCTACAGGGTCTGACTCTTGATAATCTCGTATTGCCACAACTTTATGAGCATTCAGCACAGGATTTTCTTGCTGTGAGCCGGAAACGTTACAAATATTACGTTCTGATTCAGGTATAAAGGGATTTGAACCCTCCACTAGATATGCTTCTGAAATGTCTGTTACTGCATCATAAACAGATTTCTTATTTTCTGGTCGAGTGAAAAGTGTGTTCAATAGTTGTTGTTGCAAGGCTAACAACTTCTGCTGGTGCTGTAATATTAACCGCAACTGTTCTAAAGAAATCGCCATTTTTCTTTAGTTTTTTCCCGTCGCCACTGTTATAATCCTGATTCTTCTTACGGTTATGACCCAGCTATTCCTATTGCTTAGTATTCTCGGACACCGATTCACTCGACAAGTCCCCAAATCAAAACACGGTTGAACAGGAAAGAGATTATATTCCGAATAGCAAGTCAGAAGCCAGTAGGAAGCACAATAGGGAAAACGTCAGTATATTTATAGTTTTTACATAAGAAGATTCTAGAGTCTTCTCTAACTATCGACCAGTGCTGATTGGATAAGAATTAGCCAATCAGCGTGCACCAAAGCAATCATGCATTGAGCATGCTTTAATCTAGTCTATGTCCCGCTAACACCTCCCCTCTGAGCAGATTCGTAGGATCTGGTGCTAGGGTCCAACTGCGACTGAGTGACTGGCTTGTGCTTTCGATTAGTCCATCGTCTAGGCAATGAAGAATTATCACTTTTTCCTTGCACAGAGACTGACATGTCTGTTCCCGGCGTTTTGATTTTTCTTAGAAAAAAGTATGCATAACTTTTAATTCTTCAACATTCTCCTCCTCCGCGAAACAATGTCGGATCCTTATATCTCCAAGTTACAAATAATAGGACTTTATTTAAACGACGTTTCTCGCATTGAATGTCGGATCCACTAGAAACGACTAGATGATAATGAACGACCTTTGATTTGAGGTCAAAGTTTAATTCTTCTGAAGCATTACTTTCAAATCCATTAGGAATTTCATCAGTGGATAATGGATCATTACGGAAATCATCATCTAACAAAATTAAATTAGACTTTTGACCATAATATGACTGAGCTGATATATTTTCCTGATTTTTATGAGAAATTTCATCAAAATAACATGCATTGTTCTGAGAACCCATGTCTGATACATTGTCATTAGAAATCGGATAAGCTGATTCAATATGAGTTTCTGTCTCACAATGATTTTGAGTAACATTCAGTATATTTGGGTTCGTTGTGTCACTGCAGTTATTTTCTGAATACGAGTCCCCATAGCTTTCTTGGCTAATATCACGTGGACCATAAATTTGTTCTAGCTGAAAGTTATTTTCAGAGCTCGACAGGACCAGTAGTGCTTCATTCAATTCTGGACTCCGGGCTTCATCTACAGGGTCTGACTCTTGATAATCTCGTATTGCCACAACTTTATGAGCATTCAGCACAGGATTTTCTTGCTGTGAGCCGGAAACGTTACAAATATTACGTTCTGATTCAGGTATAAAGGGATTTGAACCCTCCACTAGATATGCTTCTGAAATGTCTGTTACTGCATCATAAACAGATTTCTTATTTTCTGGTCGAGTGAAAAGTGTGTTCAATAGTTGTTGTTGCAAGGCTAACAACTTCTGCTGGTGCTGTAATATTAACCGCAACTGTTCTAAAGAAATCGCCATTTTTCTTTAGTTTTTTTTCCCGTCGCCACTGTTATAATCCTGATTCTTCTTACGGTTATGACCCAGCTATTCCTATTGCTTAGTATTCTCGGACACCGATTCACTCGACAAGTCCCCAAATCAAAACACGGTTGAACAGGAAAGAGATTATATTCCGAATAGCAAGTCAGAAGCCAGTAGGAAGCACAATAGGGAAAACGTCAGTATATTTATAGTTTTTACATAAGAAGATTCTAGAGTCTTCTCCAACTATCGACCAGTGCTGATTGGATAAGAATTAGCCAATCAGCGTGCACCAAAGCAATCATGCATTGAGCATGCTTTAATCTAGTCTATGTCCCGCTAACACTAATATACATGAATATTTTTATGAGAATTTTAAACTAATCGAGGTGATTTATGAGAATATGATCACAGTCAAATAGATTGGATAACTACACATGATAGGTAGAAAGTACCACTTAATAGTAGATAGACACGTGTACTAGTAATAAGAATAATGAAATAATAAAAGCTCTAGTCAATAATTCAACATAGGAGGTAGGTTACACTTGAATAAATAGATCTTAAAAATAATAATCACAAAGCGTCATTAAAATTAAGTAATAAGAAGTATGTAAATGATTAGATATTGAAGAATATGAACGGAAAAAGGTGAAAAAGAACAAATAAATACAGGATATTAAAATGAGTAAAGTCGTGTATTAAGTTACATCCGACCAAGAAAGGGAGAGAGGTGTCACAAATTTCTTCTGAACGTATAAACTTTTGTTATAGGTTCAGATCCTTATAACTTGTGCTATGCGATAGATCACTAGAAACGATTCAGCTTTATTCACCATTCACCCACTGCCAACCAGGTGTGTCATGATAGAACTAAGTATTATTTTTGTCTGTCCAAACCAAGCTAGGAGATGTTTACTCATTCTTTGGTTAATTTACCTGGTAGTACTCCCGATTTAGCTATCTCAACAGGAGCGGCTGAATTTGTAGATGCACATTGAGCAAGCGAACCCAGGTAACTCATCTTTCATTGATTAAACTGTAAAGTCTAGGTGGATTCAGGGTCATGAATTTTCTTAGTGTAGTCACGGTCCGAAACCTATTTACTTATGATTGGGATTCAATATCCATCACAATCGACTAATTTTTTATGGTTAAGTCGTACGACTTACTTTGTATAGGTTTTATTATTACTCTGATAACATTCTTATCTTTAATACGTGATTCAAACAATGTAAAGATTTGCTACTCCGACTAATGTAAATGTACATATATATATATATATATATATATATATATATATATATATATATATATATATACATTTACATTCACCTTGCACTCACTACTATTACTACTACTGTTACTGCTACTACTACAATCGTAGTTAGCTTGCTCATCCATTTTGCCTCTCTGCTGTCTGGTCCGAATTATCTGCTAAATAAACTGTAGTAGCTGCTTCTTTTCACCTTCTGATTTCAAACACCGTTGAAGATTGTACGATAACGGTTCGAGGGTGATTAGTTATCGAAGCAGAGCCACTACACCGTTATAACGTTTTGCTTCCGTAGTGCAAGCTACTCTTTTGATTACAACAGTAACATATAAGGGACAGATTTCTAAATGATTATCTTTTTTAGCAACGGGATGAAAAGCAAGGTTGACTTCGAAGGTTATAGATAATGCGAGATCTAGTTTCAAGACTTGATGGAACAACATATCGATACATGTGGATATTGTGAAAGGTAACGTTTGGGTCCATATTGAAGTGAATGAAACATCAACCAATCCCAAATGCCAAAACATAGAAAGTTCTAAACTAAGTAACCAAATCATTGCTTTAAAGTATTTCTGTGTAAGTGACTTACGACATGGAATCCCAACATATGTTGGAAAGTCGTTATTATTATTTAGAAAGAGATTATGATAACATCATGTAGTGGAAAAGAGACTGGTAAGTTTTTTGTCAGATTTGGATAGCTACATAGAGAATCTGATCATGTGGATTTTGTGATGAGATTAAATCGTAATATTTGTTATATATATATATATATATATATATATATATATATATGTATGAAAATGGATCAGTCATCGAATAGATTAAGCGGTTAATAATGAAGCTAGCAGGATGAATATATGCGTAGGCGCTAAACAATGTTCAAGCATACGTATTTCATACAAGCACAATAATAACAAGGGTACAATAAATTGTTATAGTGTGGATGACTGTCCGCTAAATAAGTTTGCAAAAGGGCTTAACTGAGCTAAATGAGAATAAACTCAATTACACGTGAGTCGCTATAACGGCTTGGAACATCGATTTTAATAAAATAAATTACTCCATATCAATGACTGTTTTCGCTCTGATCATTTTTGCAACTCGTAGATTTCCTGCCGTGCACGGATATCTGCCTTAAAATTAACCAGTTCTTTCGTAAGTATTTACTTTGGGACTTTAATGCAAAAATTCGATGATTCAGCAAGTGCGAAAATTAGTTTTGAGTTAATGGTTTTATATGTCATTTGATGGTGAATTACAGTATTGTTTTCGCCATTGTGGATCCCTGTATCGTAAGTTATTCCCTTTATATTCGAGGAGTCAGTCAGTCAGTCAGCTACAACGTAGGACCAGGCACATATGTGCATCGGTCCAGGTTGCCATACCTCATTAGCACAACAAGATGAACACCGGATTCATAGGAGTGGTTAGGTCAAAGGTTGCAATAAGGATATAGTATAGGAAGGAAGAATTAGTTAGTAGAAAGAAAGATATGAAGTGATTTTAATCTCTTAGTTTAAGGGAAGACAGAGAGTGTATACACCGACGCCATTGTGATCGATTCTGAGCCATGCCATCAAGAGTCTCCAACCATTGGTTACGATAGTCACGCGGACCCCAACCAAGTAGTCTGCATCTACCAACATGGCTAGGACTAGAAGTTAGTGACTTCAAGCACTGATGCCATGTTTTGGTTTGGCCGCCCCTAACTTTCTTCCAACCAACCCCTACACCGGTTAGCATTGCACGTCGTGGTAATCGGTGTTCAGGCATACGTAATACGTGGCCCAACCATCTCAATCGATGAAGATTCATAACCTCATCAACTGATTTACCATCATTCCTTAATACTCTGTGTCTAACCTCACTATTACTTAGCCGGTGATCCCAGCAGATGTGAGCAATATTTCTAAGGCATCTGTGGTCAAATACTTGTAGCTTACGGGTGTCTTCTACTCTTAAAGGCCATGTTTCGCTGCCGTAAAGTAAGACAGAACGGACTGCCGCGCAGTATGCTCTTCCTTTTATTGATAGACGGATATCTCGCCTTCGCCAAAGGTGACGTAAGTTTGCAAAAGCCAAACGAGCCAAACGAGGAATGCCTTGAAATACCAAAACAAGATTTAAGTGTTTAACCCTACACCTTTATAAATGTACTTGCGATTCATGACATCATTAAAAAACTAGTGACGGTTATTTCCAGAAGAATGTTGAATTGGTTGATTAATATTCCTCACTTAAAATCACCCAAATAATGAGTATTTTATCGTTTTTAACTGACATCTCAATTTTTGGAGACTAGGTTAAAACTCATGTAATTACTGAAATACGTAAAGATTAAATTTGACATCCTCGTTATGGAACAAAGATAATCATTGTTTTTTTCAATGTTCCGGGAATATAGGACAAAAGTATCTAAGATATATTTATACGATCTCTCTAATTTTGATTTGTTTTAATGGTCCATTCATTTTCCATTTTTTAAACAAATCATTCATAGTTATGTCAGTCAAATTCAGAGAAATACAATAAATTCGCTTTGGCTGAATTACTTACAATACCAATCCAACGCGTTTTGAAATATCATCTTCTGTTAGAGGTGAGCTTGTGTGTTTGATAAGTTATTATTTTTTAGTATTACATAACATTTTATTTTATTGCTTCTACAGATTTGTTTTCTTCTGATTTAATTTCCCACAACTAATTGAAATATCAAGCGTCAGATTCCTGATACTAATAAATACCGTTTGAAATTTAGGTAAAAAGAAGTGAATAAGTGCGTTTTCTGGGCAATATGTTTCATTCTTAATTTTTTCTAAACCCCTCAAGGTAAATGTGTACAAGTATAACTCCTCATATATCTTGACACTTTCGGTATTTTTTTCACTGGTTAAATCATTCGAATAATTTTATATGATTTTTGATACCCGAGTAGTGGTTCAGTGGTTAAGGCGTTCGACCTTCAACTACTAGGTTGCTGGTTCGAGTCCAGCCCGCCTACTTCGGTTTGGGAAGTCGATTGTTACTACTAATCCCCACACGTAGAGTATGATTTGATGCCAGGTACAATAATATGTACCTTGTAATTCAGTTGAATCATGTGATATTGTCCGAGTATTAGACTGACTTAGAAAGGCGGAACTTTTTATCATATCATGAAATATTTGTGCTCAGGTTAGTGATCAAATTAGTTAACCTTGAATTGAATATGTAAAACATATGACAAGTAAATCGACTACAGTCAAATTTCTGTTTGTATTCTGTTAACACCTGTTGATATTCAGTTTAATTATATTGTCTCGTATCAAATAGTCTTCGGATTTAGGGTATTACCTTAGTTATTTACAATTAATTGTTGCACTCACGATTTGTCTGAATTCCAACAGTCACTAACTTTAGGAACATCTTGAAGTCACTGGTTAACTGACTATTATAGTAGTTTAGTTTAGGTGGTTTTGAGATCGGCTCAATTTGTGGATTGTATTCATCATGAATATTGACCTCATCACTGCACATTCACGACTCCACTAAAAGTCGAACTTAGAAATTTTAAACCTAGCGCCAATTCACAATATGAAGAGCCTAGTGGATGAGTGATTCCGAGCTCTGTACTAGAACAAAGCAGTTGTTCAATGCCCCTTGATTTTCTTTGATGTTCCGACTGAGAGTAATCTATGGCGAATCCAGCCTACAAGTTAAAACAATCTCCCCAAAACTCCTTCAACTAGATTATTGTTATCAACTCACTAGTAATTTGCTTTGCTTTGTTTACCTGGAATCTAATTATTAAATATCTGGATTTTTTTGATAGCTTTGAATTTTTTCTGTATGACTTACAATTTTGTCAATACTACTACTACTACTGCTACTACTACTACTACTACTACTACTACTACTACTACTAATAATAATAATAATAATAATAATAATAATAATAATAATAATGATCAAAATTGTGTTCAAGTGTATGGGATTCATAACTGTTACTATAAAAAAACGTGAGTATGCCTTATTTCTTACATTGTCCCTACGTTATAGTAAAAACCCAAACAATGTCTCAGTTGTTTTCAGTTTTTCTTCGGTAAACGTTGATGTCTTCTAGAAAGTACATTCAACTACTGAATCATTTGAATACATTTTATTGGGTTCACTGTTATTGGTCATAAAGCATTTTCAGATCAATAAACTATACCAGTTCCAATGAATAAAATAAGTACTTTTCTTAAATTTCAGCATCTATGTAAACTCACTCCAGCTGATCACTATGATCGTCCTGATCTAACTGTAGCTCACGAAGCTATGCGTGAAGTTGCATTATCTATCAACGATGTTAAACGAGATCTTGACACGATTAGCTCGATTGATCAAATTCAATCCAGGTTTGTTTTTTCACTTAATCTATAGATTATAACCATTCAATCCATTTTTAGATTATTAATTAAACTTCACCTTTCTTGATGAGTTATTGGTTACTTGTGATTGTTAAATAATAAATTATTATCTATATATGTTGCCTGGTTAACATAGTTGTTTTGACCTTATAATTGTAAATGTGTTCGATTGATACTTAGGGTTATATGGAATAATTCTACCGATTCAATAGGTTCTAATCATACAAAAACGTCAAATGCGAGTTTAAATTAACTTTTAATTGTAATAATTCAGGAATCATAATCTATGATATTAAAATGTAAATATTTTTTTCATAGAGAATTATACCATTGGTTTAATCCAGGGTCGATCACTTAAATCACTGCAATTTACTGGATAAATAATCCAAGCCTAAAACAATCGGTTTTTAATTAGTCATTTGAATTTCAGTTATGGATATGTTTTGTGTGAGCGCATATATAATCACTATACATCATATTGAATCTTTAAACTGTAATAATGATAGGTTAGAATACTACAGTTTATATTCGTTTTGCAAATTCGTGAGTACTTTACAGCATTTGTTAAATTTCGCTTCAATAACAATCAGAGGTAGTAACAGTTTTATTGGTAGTAGAATAGATTAGGCGGCGAACAAATGGTTCTAGAAAATATAGACTAAAGGAATAAAAAATTTATGAGATAATTTATAGACTTAAAATCTAAGGGAGGACGAAGGGTGATTGTAATTGAGCTAAGTCACCCGAAGTCTAACCATTGATCATGATTATCACTCATACCCTAACCAGGTAGTCTGCATGACTCAGTCCAACTGTTCGCATCTTCATTAACTGACTCCGTGCCTTGGTTTGACCGCCCCATAGCTTTCTTTCAATCTACTCTCACACCAATTATCATCTCTTTAAGTTAATTAGACATGTGTGTGAATAAATTCTCATCGCTCATTTCTTTAAAGTTTGTTTTCATGATATCACGTATATGTCTATTGTTGGCTTACTTCCAAATAGCCATTATCATATGGAAAATTCCATTTGTCATTTATTCTTTTGTTCATACATCAAACTAAATTCGGTATTTCAATGATACCTAAGGTGGCTTTGACAATTTAAAACAATTCATTTATTATATAAATTAGTCATTTTTCTCTATTTTATGTGCTGTTTTTTTACCTGCTCCATATCTTTTGTTTCTTTCTTTCGTTATCTTGACAGTTTACTTGAAATAATGCTGGTGAGTAGTAGTAGTGTGATATTTTCATGACTTTTAATTATATTTGATTGAATTTTTATCAAATGATGTATTTGCGTACGACATCCGATTAATAAAATGATCATTTACTAATTGATAATTGTCATAATAGTAAATTTTTCAACTTTTTTATTATTGACTTTATTGGTCGTTTGATCTTGAAAAGTGATTTGGTGTGATCAAACTTCGAAAATTCAGTCTATATCTATGCTTAAAATAATGACAGTGAAATAGAAATAAAGATGATCCTGTATTATAAAAACATCATGTGACATACTAAGAATTATGGATTGAAACGTATTCATTAGAAAAAACAGACCAGCGCCTAGATTCACTAAATAATAGATAGACAACAAGGAATTTCGTCACTCTGTTAATTATTTCTATATAGTGGTAAGTTACTTGCTGTGCACCCTACTTTATTAAATAATGATCAGAGATTGAAGGCTATTTTAATGTTTCTTAAAAAGAAGAATACACTAAATGATGCGTCCAAAAGAAATTTCATTCATATAATCTGTTGGCGGGATTAAAGCGTGCTCAATGCACGATTGCGTTGGCGCGTGCTGATTAGCTAGTTCTTATTCAATCAGCGCTAGTCGATACTTGGAGGACACTCTAGAATCTTCTCATGCAAAAACTATAAATATACTAACGGTTTTCCTATTGTGCTCCTTACTTCCATCTAACCTTGTTATTTGGAATATAATCTCTTTCTTGTCAACCGTGTTCTGATTTGGGGACTTGTCGAGTGTATTGGTGTCCAAGAAAACTAAACAATGGTAATAGCTGGATTGTAATAAAAGAGAATCATAACATAATCATTATGATTAAACAACTGTGACTGCTAATTTTGCAATGCTATCTAATTGAACAATAACAGTTTCAACTGATGAATATAGTCAGTTTCATTTTATCTTGCCATAGTAAAAACCAATAATAAGGGAAATCAACCGTGAAATAAATGAATTACGACTGTCTAGTGTTGAAATAAATATCATCTTATTCTTTTCATGAATACTATTGGTTTTCTTTGTACAATGTTCCATTTCAAATAATCACAAATTTTTTTTCTAAAAATAAACTATTTCATGAAATTAATTTTTATTCTTCTCTGTTATTTCCTGATAAGTTTTACGTAATTTATTAGAGGAATGAAAATTTTATTCACTTTTTCTCTCAATATTAAGATTGATTAATCACTAGTTTTCATGATTAGTTTTAGAATTTAGTAAAGGGATATGCAATTTAATTCAATTCTTAGCAATCAATTTTAATTCTTTATCATATTGAATGTATACAAAAGACAACTGAATTGTATGCGAAGATAAATTTCTTAATGTCTGATTATAGATGGTCGTAAGAATTCAAACAGTAAATAGGCAGGTGAAATGAAATGACCTTGATTAAGTAACTGATCCATTTACTTATTATAGCTTGTTCACATCGTGTGACTCGTAAAATCTTTTATTGTTTGAATATTATATTGGATATTATATCGAGAAAATATTCATTAAAGTTATAAGTGAATAGTTTCTGTTTATGAGAGATATCATGGATAAAGTAAATCCAAAAAGAGTTTAGGCAATATTGGATTGATTCGTATTAAATGCATGCTTTCAAAAATATATTTACACACAGTGACTTGTTTAATATGTGGATGATTTTCATCATGAGCTGATATCAGTTGGTGGCCCATTAAAAACCATGTAGTACACCTAGTTGTTTTATCCTAGTATAGGATTCCATAACAATAAATATCTGTAACGTCTCCAGAAAGCGAACATAGCATGATTAACAGTTTTCATTACAAGTGTGTTAAACTGTTGACTACTAGGTTGGTGATAATGTGCATTTCCAGCATTAATCAGTTTACGATATTCTGAACAAAATCATTACTTGAAACTATACTAATCATCGAAATTTTTAAAATCTAACTCTCAGTTTTTAAATATTTATTACAAATAAGTCCTAGTAATTCTTATGAAGTTGTGGATATTTATCTGATTGGGATTCTCGTGATTATCTTGATCACCGGTTGAAGACGTTCAATAAAATGACTCAGAATCGGTCACAATAGCGCAGATACATTCATTCTTTATTTTTTATTTTATCTTGGATCTGGAAATTGTCTTGTACTTTATATTCCACGAATTTAACTTTTCTTCTCTAATCACATTGTCTGCCTTTAATCTTTTCTACTACCACTTATATTGTTATTATTGATCTGGTATTCATCTTAACAATTTAATCTCGCCCTGCTGATTTGGTGTTACAACTTAGTCTATTTTTCTTTCAATACTCTTAGTTTAGTCTCTAATCCAATTTCAGTATTGCGCCAATTTAAACGCGAGGAGAACGTTTTAGTGGATTAGCATTAGATACGCGTATTCATAATCAGCTTCATGCAGTTGAACTACTGTGTTTATGTTTCGGAAATGCAGATTTCTGTTACGTCACATTTTCGGCTACAATAGTAAAAATAACATGTTTCTGTTTATCATTATTACATAATTTAGCGTAATCGTTCTAGGTATAGTCAAATACCAGAAAGATATTCAAATATATCGGTATTATACTTGTACTTTGTAGGTCATGTAAACGTGGTTTTCAGGTGTAATGCTAATAGTTTAATTAATAATCCAAGTTCTCATTTGATCGCATCTCTCTCCCTATATATATAAGCGCAAAAGTTACAATATCAATAATTTTCGGCAAATAATTACTTCCCACTAACTTGCTTTTGACTGAGTAAGTAAATTTGAATTACATGCACCATCACTTTTTATTTGCAGTTATATTGTGTCATTTGTTAATTTTTCAGCCTCCAGATAAAAGGTTATCAAGTTATGGGCACTTGCATATGGATGGAGAAGTGAAAGTTCTTTCTGAATCAGAAAGCAAAGCGAAAACTAGGTAATATAACATTGTATTAGAGTCAGTTATGCAATGAATTTCGATTTTATACCTTAAATGTATTGATTATGTTACGTTATTTTGTATATTGAGTTGTTTTATGAAAACATTAATAATAATATCGTACCCATAAATCTACTTCTCAAATTGACTTACAAGTAAGTATGAAAGATGTATCATGAATTTCACTGCTAGTCTCTATCCAACTTTAATAAAATTTTGTAATTAAATGGAGATTTCGAGGCAATCCATTCAGGGTGCAAATATGTCAATAATGACTAACAAGTTGAAATCCCTAACATCCACAAGCTCTTGGAAATGATTTACATTATGATTTAACGGTTTTGGAATTGTTAGTACTGTTATTATTTTCTCGGTTTAAACGATTAGTAATTGTGGTTTGTTATGATTCAGTAAGTTATAATAAATTTGAAGCCTTCCACAAATGTGCGTTGACCCAACTGACCCTACTACATCAGCTCAACAAAATGAAATTATCAAACAGGAGAGCAAACAAGTCGAAGTAATTTTAATAGTAATGATAGTAATAAACATTAAGAATATGGTTCAAGAAGACGAAATTAAGTAATATATTTGAATTAACACTGGAACTCAAGACTCACTTAATTACACATAAATTTGGAGGCCACATTGCACTTTAAACAATGAATATTCATATTTCAAGTTTGGGACTTGACACAGGTTAATGAATTATTTACTGAAATTAACGACCGGAAAAAAACTAGCAATAGTTAATGAGTTAAATAAAAGGTTACAGTTAGATTAGTGTAAAAATACCATTCATCAATTATTTTATGAATACACATTAAAATATTTATGGTAGTTCACCGCAGAACAGCTTCCATAGTTTGTTATTTGCATCTATTCGCCCAATCATAATACAATCACAATGTATTGTTCCCAGTCATTATATTATCTCATCTATTCACGTTGCTTGCATAAATTTATCTCGACAAAACCCAACCTTAACAAAACTGGCTAGGGATGACAATGGGTTGATTTGTAATTTGACTAAGTTGGCCAAAGCGAAATCTTTTTAAGAGGATAATCATTGAAACGGTAAAATATTTGAGGTAAATCGTTGTGCATTTCGTCTACACCGTAGTTAGGTATACGATTTGAGCTCACAGTAGATTAGAAAGGGTAAAAAAGTTCAGTTTTAGGTTTTATCAAAGCTAAAGATTTAGTCGAGTTTCGATCGTCTATATACATGAATCAGTCTATCAGAAAAAGACTTTCAAATAGTCTGTTTACTATGGTCTTGAATGTTTACTTTAGAAAAACTATATTCGAGTGCATGTTTTTTTGTACTCAGTCAATACTCATTTCCTACATAATTTGTAACAAGTGTTTTCTAACCATTTTCTGGAAATTATTTTCATTTATTATTCACTTCTCTTAAGTTATGAATTTCAGCAAATAATGATGAAATAAGATTGATTACCCGAAGTTGATAGATTTTATAATCCAAAAAAACATTCACAGATTACCAGTAAAATGTTGATTTTAACAAGTTTTTACACATGATTTTATTCCTATTAAAGGTTGGAAGTAACTTATTATTCAAAATGAAATAAATTATTATAACCAGTACTAATATTTGCATCTTAATTTTAAATTCCTTTATTTAACACATTAAGAAGTTCTGTAACTAATATCTATTCCCCAACCGCTCTCTTCTTTGAAATGTCAATTAATGGTTTAATTGGAACAATTAATAAGTATAATCTCATCATTTGGTAAATGTTGCACTTTTTTGATAACGGTGTTCAATAAATGAATGATTTTGTCAGGATTTAGTTTTATGACTTCGCACTTCTGTTATTATCAAAAGGAGGATGTTATTGGCTACTTTACTATACTTTGGCCTATTCAATTTTTATGTGGTATTGTAAATTTCATTCACTGGGTTGTGCAGATCAGCATCCTCTTCTCTGTCTTCTTTTTGGGCAACTGAGTAGCATCGTTTGAGTTTATATAAAACTTTGTGACTAAATGTTGGCTACGTAAATCTGTATTCGATACCAATAACTTAAATGTAGCGCAAAACATTGAATTATGAATCAGTGAAATGTGTATATATGTGTTTCTAAAATGTTTTTATTGACTTTTCTCACTAGATTTGTATTTCCTGTTTATTTTCTTTGTCTAATTTGCAGATATTTATTTTTATTCGATAAAATATTGATTGTATGCAAACCGAAGGTAAGAAATTATTCTAAATAGTTGTACACACACTATTATTATTTTTATTACATTTGTACAACTGGCTATCAGTAGTGTGTGATTTTATGGATAGGAAAAGACCATCTTCCTCCTTGGAAAATTTCTGTATGTGTTTCACCATTTGTTTCTGTTTCTACTACTTACTGTAGAGCGAATAGAATAGTTTTTAAAAAAATGTTGAAGTGCTAGTGACATGAATCAATTTTTACGAAATCTTTCATGATAGTTATTGCGGAGATTAATTTGCTTTTTAGATATTATTCGTCTCAAATTGATATCATTTAAGAGTAGCATCGGAAACTAAGCAACATCGGTCAGCTGTTTCGTCGTAGTATGGGACTATTAAGGTGTCCTCACTTATTGACTCTTTTGGAATTGAACCCAGGTCATCGAGGTATTATAGTGGGCATTTAGTTGGGATCCAGTAGTTTTCATTGCCAAGTTTAAGTCAGTTCATAGTATAATACGATTGTCGTTATTATTCGTACGTCTCACGATGTTCTGGTCGCTCTTCGATGTTTATCCATTAACGTTAAAAGTTGGTTAGATACATTATTATAACGTTGTATTGCGTGATAATTGTATTTTTTCCTTACATTGTATCGAGAAGTGCCGGTAAAGTGATTGAAATTTTAATGAGTAATCATTTTTATTAGGTCATCTAGTGTTAAGTATATGAATCTTTTTTATATCGTAGTCTGTTACACCGATCAGAATTGGAATGCCTGTCAGCAGAAGGTTGAGAATATCGAATTGAAGAGAACAGGAATGTAAACAGAGAGTTATTGTAAAAACAACGGGAATGAAGGAATGATGAATTTTGTAAGAGACAAATAATGGAAGATATGCAAATGCAGTATTTAATGCATGGTTTTCGTATTTTACGAAGACCTGTAATTTTTTATTAAACAATAAATTGGTCTTCCCCACCTGAGTGTTCGTTCACTACATAAATAATATTCTACGTTAATAATATTTATCAACAGTAGTCATTTAAAGTTGAAAATCAGCTTCAAAAATCTAGTTGTATATCTATTTGCTATGATACTATCATCCTGATAATCATCGCTAACCTCATAGTTGTTAAATTAAATGAACAACCTGTTTCATTTCATACACTCTATTGCATATAAACCAAACATATATCTTTATTTGGCTAACATAGGATCAAGTGGTATCAAAACACAGAGATCATGTGATTAAAACGAAAAATACTGCGTTTAGCGTATGATATTGGTATTATATTAGAGAATAACTCATCTGAATCTCATCTATAAATTATCAGACATTTTATGGGTTACCTCCATGTACTTAACCGTATAATACGTTAGTTAATAGTTAAGGTAAATCACAAATGAATATCCATTTTTTTCATTATGGCGATTTAAAATCAAGTGTTACTGGCCAAGTACTTTTTTAGGATAGTGTAAAAAATTTATTGACTACGATCAGTCACGATAATATATCTAGTGAGGTTATCTTAAAAAGAAAGGTCTAATATATATGCTTAGCTAATTGCTTCTTGCATGCATCATAGAAATATATCAATCATGTGATTTAACATTATTTCATTGACATTACTGGTGTTTGTCTACATAAGTGTGTGTATAGAAAAGAAATGCGAATAAATGCTATTCTATTCTAACATCTGAAAGGGGAAACCGTTAATCGTCAATCAAAAAAGTAATTCTATTCAGGCAAAAGTAAAAAAATGTTGAAAGGTTATTTTCTCTGTTCACGTGTACACTTGAGATATCCACTGTGTAATTGCAAAAAGAATGTTAATTTTAAATATCTAATGCCTCTTTATGTAATACTGTTCTCCTTTAGTCAATTACAATTGATTCACCACAACATAAGTAATGTAAATTTTTTTTACAGACAAACAGTGAATTGAGGCGGACTCCACTTCGGAGACATATTATATGTTACATGTTTCCAAATATTGGTCTGGATAACCACGAGGATTCAAACCATACTTGCGGAACATTAAATATTTCTTTCTTTCTTGTATCCAACCTGATTAGAATTTAGCGATTTGATGGTTCATTGCTGTATTGTCTTCTCTCAATACCATGTTCGCTTTCCACTTCATTCTTATGTATAAACAACATACTTTACATTGTGATCAGGAATTGATGACAGCTAACAAATCTCCAAACCAATTCTGTATATACAGCCTATTATTAACTCTGTAATAGCATTCATCCCTGTTTAGGTTCTTTTAATGTGTTCTATGCATGTGATTTTTGACTACAAAGTTTGCCGTTAATCGCGAAGTCTTAATTTTCGCTAACATCAATGAATAAATATTCTCAGAAGGGGTTTGTGGAGATTTTAGAAATTTTCACAGATTGAAATCATGAGTCAGTTGAAGCTAGACCACCATGGAAAACCTGGAAGCACTGGACGACCGTTTCGTCCTAGTATGGGACTCCTCAGCAGTGCGCATCCCTTGGATGCCGGCTCAGTGGTCTAATGGCTAAGTGCTCGCGCGCGAAGCCAGTAGGTCCTGGATTTGAATCCCGCGGGGTGCGGGATCGTGGATGTGCACTGCTGAGGAGTCCCATACTAGGACGAGACGGTCGTCCAGTGCTTCCAGGTTTTCCATGGTGGTCTAGCTTCAACTGACTCATGATTTCAATCTGTGAATAAATATTCGTTAATTCCCCTAGGTACATTTGTAATACTTTTGTCATATATTGTTAACAAAAATGTGAATAATTGTCACTTTCACTGATTATTAAAGATATTTTCCATATTGCTTGTATTGTTTTGTCCTTTATTCGTTATTCTTTTTTATTATGTAGGGTGATAGTTTTACATTTATGTTCGCTTATCATGTTGTAAATGGCCAATTCCAACGAGTTACTTTATCAAATAAAAAGGGAGTAAGTTTAATTTAATTAAGTATTAAAATCTAAAACAGTTATTTACTTCAATATCATGATTGATTGATGTGTTAGTTTTTGTTAATTGTGTAATACTTTGGTTAATAAAAAGAAAATAACCAAAAATATGGTTAACAATTGTTTGGTGTTCTTTTATCGCTACATTACTGCTGTGATTCACTGATTATGATCGCGTGTCACAAAAAATTGTATTAAAACATAAATATAATCTTCAAAGACTTATATGCCTCTAGTTATTTGTTCCTTGAAGTTGATTACTTCAGAGGTAATTTTCGCGATCCATCAACGACATAGAACAAAAATAATACGAATAATAAGTAATGAAGATGAACTGCAGAGTTGTTTCCCGACATATTTGGAGCCTTTCACTCATCCCCAATGTATTCTTATTTAAAATCTTTACCACTTTATCTTTCATATTAAGCACTTTTCAGTATTATTTCTTTAAATTTAAATCTAATGGCTGATAATTTTCGCCTACATCTAGTTAGTGATATAATCCAAGGTCATTTCACTTGTCTTACTAGCAGGGTTTCGTAATAATGCGTTAGAAGTTTGTTTCTCGTTGTGATTTAACAATAAATGATGAGTGGCTAATTTTGTTAATCTAATCCCGTTGACTCGATCTGCCTAAAATAGAATATTACTGTTTACCACTAAGTTAAGTGATGGAACTCCAACTGTTTGACTTCGATCTAAAAATTGGAAATGTTGCATGTAGGGTGTTAGAATAATGATCGCGTATACTTGGTGGATTAATATCCATAACCTCACAGTCGTCGCTTACAAGTCAACCACAAGCTTTGACGTTGTTCATCCTTTTCTTGTATTAGACACCTGAGTGTTACCTTCGAAACGGTAATGATTTCATACTTCGTATTTTTTAAAGGCTGTTTCTATTTTTCATATCATCTGTAAGAAAACCACTCTGTGAAACGAAAACAAGATTATATAAGGCCCTCAAATGCCCTGGTACGGCCGAGAGTGGGGAGAGTCCGCTCTCCCTCTGGAAATGCTCTCACATGGCCACGCGTATATAGCCTCTACCAGGGAAGTCCTGCTCACTGCCTTCTCGTGGCTGGGGTGTTGTTTACGAAAATGAGGATGAAAAGCGAATGTCCGGCGCTTTAACCGGATTTCAAACCAATGGTGCACATGGGCTCCAGTATCCTGCGTGAACAAATGGCGTCTGAACCAATTGTTGGTCACCGGCTTCCATGAGACTGCATCTCCTTACGATGCTCCACTGCCTTGTGGATCAGATCTTCAGGTCGAAGGCTCAGGGAGTGGCCCCCTAAGAAAACCGCGTGGTTCGGTTTGGGCACCCGGGCAGTATCACAGCCCTCACACATATCGAATGAGATTTGTGTGGCGCATATGTATTTGGTGCCTCCTTGTACCAATATCTATGTGTTAAACTAAATAAATAAAAAAATTCCTTCTATCATTAACGTGCGTAAAATGATCACAGAATTTGATTATATTTCAGATATTAAGGGATTGTGATGATCATGATGATGGTCGTACATGTAATTCTAGTCTAAATGTATATGATGACTGTATTTGTTTACACATATTTCATATGTAGGATATTTTTGGCAGCTTCTCATATGGACTTTCCAAAAATCAGATTATTTTATTGCAAGCAGTTTCGACTTGTTATCATCACAAAATCTCTGTCAATTCGTTGCTTTTCCAAAGGTTACACTCATTTCATAGTCAACCTCAGTACTGAGTTCAATTGCAGTGGTCTATTTTTTTCAATTTTATGTAGCAATATGGTTATCCCTCGTGGATATCTGCTTACACATATAACTCAAGTAATCATGCATATTTTAGAAATCACTGAAGTGGTTTAGATTTGTGTTAAAACTAGTCACAATATTAATGTATGTGAATAGTAACACTTATTTGGATGTTCAGGACTTATTGTAGAATAAAGACTTGAAATTATCATGGAATATTGACACAACTGAAAACGACTTATTTTTGCATTACTGCTAGTTGATCGTACCATCTTAAGAGTTTGTCGTCTCTATTATGAAACCTTTTTTCCGATGTCTTTTGACTTAATACTCTAAGCTTTTGTTTCTGCTATCAAATTTGTGTATAAACTAATTATAGTGGATGATAGTGGCTAGCAGTAGAATCCAGGAAACGCATTTCGTTCTATTTGGGACTAGTTAGCAGAGTGTACCTTCATCCTGGTGTTTGATATTTGCAATCCAAATATAATAACTACAAGGTTATACGGAGGAAATCAGGTCAGTGTGCAATCCCTAACAATAATAACAACGGGAAAATACAAAACCATACAAATATCGTTAGAATGATGGGAATATTCCTCATACCATAGTTCTGTGTCCACATTTATGTGGAAAAGAGCGTCAGATTCATACTTATCCTCGTCTTGTTACAGGTTCGCACTAAAAAGATTCCAAACACTGAAGTTTTTGTTTTTTGTTATTCACATGTAAATTACTAGTCACAAAATAACTACTTGCATGTTGGGTTCACTATAATTGACCAATTTAAAAGCTTTTTTGTTGAATATAGGTTCAGGTTTATACCGTCATATCGTTAATCAAACGAAAATCTCTACTATTATCTTAGCGGAAGAGTTCCCATAGATTACCTATCTGAAGCATAAGGTTTTATGTTTATTAAGAATTAGTGATTATAATTTTGGCCAGACTAACTGTAACTGGGTTGTTTTGACAATAAATATCTCCCCCCCACCCTATAATAGGCAGATTAAATGGTACGATATTATCACTTCATCTTACCATACTTCTTACTGTTAAACTAGTTTCCTCGATTACATTTTCTGAAGTTGATAAGTTTAGTGACATCAAGTTTGAATTATCTTACAATACATTACTTTAATGTATAAATATACTAACTGGATTTTGTTAGTAAATTTAAAAAGCCAGCGAAGTATTCGTAAATACATTAAATTGTTCTGTTTATCACTGAAAAATTTCAGTAAGAATAAACTATATCCTTTGGCAAATCCGATTTTATTTAGTACAATCTAATTTCAATGTTATGGAGCGCTGTTACAAAATTAACATATCAGTTAGATAATTGAGCTACATTAATTGCCACTGTATGGTTATTTCATCCATCCGCCACAACAAATAAAATTAGTGACTGATTTGTACAATTGTGATATTATGTTAAAATGACCGTAAACTGATAGCAAGAATTTCAGGTTATTACATGTTTATTGCATGAGATAAATGTGATTTGTGTGCATGTAAGTTAAATAACGAACAAAAATATCAATATTTGCTATCATGTGATAAACTAAATAGTCTAATGACAACTATCTATCTATCTATCCATCTATATATATATATATATATATATATATATATATATATATATATAGTTATGTACATTACTTTTCTACGGTCTAGTAACTCTGACGTTCATCATTATCAGTCCAACTTGTTTCGTCAGTGTCTTTCACAGAAGTCCTGCACAAGGTGAATGTCGTTTCAACATGTGAAGTTTGTCCCAACAGATTTATATATGATAAGTATCTATTTTCCTTGTTATGTATTTTTATACATCAGCGCCTACATCCTTGTAGTATTCTGTTTACAGTACTGATGGAATGAAACTGTATCCACCAGGACTGATCAAATCATATTTACACTACTGGTCCATTATTTGTCTATTTCCAAGTCTAATCTATTTGGAAAATTATGAACTTCATTATTGTAATATTTGAAACAATTAAAACGATTTTGTTTTGTGAATTTCGAGCATATAGTACAAATCGTTCTTGCATCCAATCTGTTGTTTTAAGTTGGTGATTTAGAGTTTTTTCTCTCTCTTCTTTTCCATTCTTCACATTCTTATTATCAAAAGATCTTTGCTGCTATAATCTTTTCTTTGTTTTTATGGAAAAATGCGACATTTTCAACCAATAAACTTATTGTACTCAGTTTTTTTGTACTCTTTGTTTTGTCATCAAACAACCACCCTCTCTAACGAGCGTTAAGGTCTTTTTTCTTCACTGCCTCAATATTTATATTCCCATTTAACATCAGACTATGTATTTATTTTAAGTCTTTAACTGGCCAGTTTTGGTTTGTGCTTTTAATATTTTATATCTTTTTAAGTTACACTCATCAAGATTGTAGGTGTAAGCAAAATTCTACTGTTTATTCATTTATTTAAAATAGTATTCCTATGGATTTACTTTACCAATTTTGGGTGATAGAGATTCGCCAAATCTTACTTTCTTTACAAAATCCGAAGAATTACGTACAGCTTGGATGAAAGCTGTAATGGCTGCATTGTAAGTTGTTGGTGTCAATCTTATCTGTGTATTTGTTTTTGAATTGGTTTATTTTTGTTGTTTATACATTTAGCAACTGTGACAAATTTCATGTGAAGAGTACTGTTGTATTCTGTACTTTTTAAATTGAACTTGATCAACTCTATACTCCTGAAATAAATCGTTTCCGAGTAATTCGATTATGGTAAAATTCTGTTTATCTTGGATTTATTTGATAAACATTCTAAGCTTTATCATCAAAGATGAATAATATCTAGCAGTGGGATCCAGGACGCGCGTTTTTTCCTATTTTGGACTGGTCAGCTGGATGTACCTGCATCCCAGAGTTAATGTTCAATTGCAGTCCTAAACATCACTGACAAGGTTCAAATAAACAATACAAAAGTTTTGATTGAGACCGTAAATCGATCAATAATAGACCACCATTTGAAACCTGGAAGCACTGGACTGGGCATCCACGATTACACGCGCGCGAATTCGAACACAGGACCTTATGTCTCGCGCGTAAACGCTTAACCCCTATATTACTGAGTCGGTATTCAACGGTTTTAATGTCTAACTTCAATAATTCCACGGAATCGCGTGACCGTCCTCCATTGTCCTATGTGTGTAACTACCTCACAACCGAAAAAATTAATTCAAAGCTTTAGTTATGTCCTTAATAAAGCTAGAATACTGTTATAGGTATTTCTTAAGTAGATGTTAATTTAATGCTTTCAGTTTACGTATGATAGAAAACAGGGTTATAACATATTTAAATAATTTTATTTTTATAGAAATCTATTGAATGATACCGGACTTTTTTCCAGGCAAAAAATCTTAAATGTGTTGTGAACAAATATCATCAACCAGTTGTTCAGAATAAAAGATTTTTTAATGTGCTATACATAACTTACTTCTGCCCATTCTTATTTAAGCAAATCTGATACCATGGTTGCTATTAACTTAGCAATATTTTAAATTTATTATAAGTCTTGAAAGTTATTTGTAATCATTTAAAATAAACTGTGAATTTCCTAAAAAGGAACTAGTTTTTGCTTGATGATAGTCTATAGCTTTTGATATTTTGTCAAACTTCAGTGAGTTGCAACAATTCTGAAGTCAGTCAGACCACTTATATTACTCTTAGTATTCAAAGTTGATTTTCCGTTTCGCACAATGAATTCGATAGTTTGATTATTTAAGATATCATTATCTGTAAGGATTCATTTCTATACTCACCACTGTTTTATACTACCCCTATTATTTAAATTTTCTATGTTAATATAATTTGTCATTATTCCCATCGCTTATTCTCCATTTGTTTCATGTTGATTTTTGATTTCATTGACAACAGGTCTAATCTTTGTCCACCTGGAGCGAAAGACCGAGGTTACAACTTTGAAATGTTCACATTTAAACAACCTACTTATTGTTGTATCTGTAATAAATTAATCACAGGAATGTTCTTTCAAGGTTATCGTTGTCGAGGTAAGTTTTGTCAGGATAGATTCTTTCTTATCATTCACGTGAGCTATTCAGCGTGATTTTAGGCTTGAACATTAACTACAAGTGCTCAATTTTCATTATATTCACTGTTATTTTCCAAAGTGCAGTTTAATAGTTTATTGATTTCTTATAAATCTAATGGTAATGTGTAACACAAATTAAAACAACTCTATTTCTTGGCTTAAATAAAAGTCAAGGCTTATAGCTCATTGAATGTTGTACTTACAGATCTCTTATGTCTTAATGGGTTGTAATAGTTAGGGATAGAATATTATCTTCATACTCTGTGATTTGAAGGGTTTGGTTGATTCGTGATAACCGTGATCATTGGCTAGAGACATTGAGTAGCATGACTTCGAATCAGTTGCGGTAGCACAGACACACTCATTCTTTGTTTTCCCTAATTTTCAAAATTGTTTCATATATTTCACCCTGCACATTCATTATTTCTCATTAAACCATATTGTCTATGGGTTATACGTTTTGCTACCACTGACACTATTCTGATATTTATCTTAAAGGTTTCATCTCATGATGCTGAAATGTTGTGGCAACTTGTACTAACGTAAATTGATCCCGGGTCCTTACGTTGCTTATGACTAGTAGCAAATTGCGTTAAGCGTATGTACATCTTAAAAAATATATTTCACCTATAATTTGAAGGTTTTCAACTGTAGTCCAATAAATTTCTCCATAGCTTAACACCTGTTTAGTAAACTTCTTGTAAAAATTCTATTCAAACATTTAATTTCATCAGATTGTGTGCTCGTTTTGTAATTTGTGTTTTACTTTGAGCTTTCATATTTGGTCGCTAATTTCTCAACACTAGTGTAGCTAACTTTGTCAATGTTCGTTTCATAAAAAGCTGAAGTGTTCTGAAGTTTTATATAAATATTTATAAAGGAATTCTTCCAATTTTAAAAGTCATTTGTAATCACTGTTCTGAGGATAACTATCACATACCATACTTCCTCTCTTTGTTGAACTAAGTTTAACAATTTTACTGACCAATCCTCATTTGTAATCCATCACTCACTAAAAAAATAAATTAAATCCGAGTTAATTGTGTTAAATTTGTTTATACGTTCATGTCATTATAGACAAATAAATATTCGCTTTGTTACACTTAAAAATTAAACTTTTATTGCCCGATCGAAGCTGCTACCTTGACGCGGTGGTCGGGCTTGCCTATCGTGATGACCCAACCGAGCTATATTGGCTGGAACATATGTTCCTGCAGGTTCTACCATGCCAGGCAGGTCGATTGGCGAACGGTAAGACTAAAAGCAGCAACTCAAGGTCTGAGGGCGAAGTCGTACTGCTGACTGTAGAGAGGTGTGACAGCAGTAAGGTGTTTCCCTCGGACAACCAGCATGACAGCGATGCTGCCTTCCCACAAGGAGGGGTGGGGTTAGAAAAGGTCGACCCTAAAAATGCACACCTCACCTTACCTCACGGATTTCCGTCTCCGGCGGTAAGGCCCCTTGAAGAACGGAGCTAACACGTCAAAAACCTTCCACGAAAAGGCCGTGCGCGACCGGCCTCAAGCAGTTGTCCCTTGGGCTCTGCGGTCACGCTCCCAGGTCGTCAAGACCAACACTAATCCAATTTCCTTTTCAGGTTCCTCAAGAAATACCCTTCCACGGTGTGGGCAGCCGGGAAGTGACATCAGCCCTCATACCCGTAACAGCACAAGAGACCAAGGTGGTCACATTCAAATCCTTCCTACACCTCCTAATACCTCTCTTATCCTCCCGACTAACCCTCCTCACGTCTCTTTATCACCTCGCACCGCTAGGGCAAACGATTCGAGTACGTGGAACGCCATTCCTGGTCTCCTGAAACCACGCTCTAAACTACACGTAGGAGCTTTTAACGTACGAACACTTTGCCAAATAGGACAGCAGGCTTCCTTAGCTAAAACTTTAGAATCTCGCGCCATCGATGTGTGCTGCGTCTCCGAAACGCGCATACAGGATCCAAGTAGTGTCATTCATTTGACCTCACCATGCCAAAATAAAGAACCGACTCGATTTACGCTTCGTGTATCTGGAAGCCCTGATTCTGCTTCCCGTGGCCTCGCCGGCGTAGGTATAGCATTGAGTCCTAGGGCAGAACTAGCTCTCTTAGAGTGGATCCCAGTAAACAGTCGTTTGTGCGCTGTCCGACTGAACGGAACAGTAAGAATCCGGAAAGATAGGGACACTCGTCGTTGCCTCTTCGTCGTCTCTGCCTATTCTCCCACTGACTGCAGCTCAGATGATGTAAAAGATGAGTTTTACAGAAAGCTTTCCGACCTTCTCCGAAAAGCTAAGCGCTCGGATGTAGTAATAGTGGCCGGTGACTTTAATGCTCAAGTAGGTAAACTAAGCGATAAGGAAAGACACCTAGGTGGATCTATGGTGTCGTGGCTCAAAGAACAGATAATGGCGACCGTCTGTTGCAGCTATGCTCAGATAACCGCCTGTTCCTTGCAAATACTAACTTTAAGCATAAGGAAAAACATCTTTTAACATGGCGACCCCCTAATTCGTCCCAACGTTGGACCCAAATAGATCACATCGCTATCAGCCACCGATGGAGGGGATCGATAGAAGACTGTCGCTCATTCTGGAGCACATGCCTAGATTCAGATCATGCTCTAGTGCGAGCGCGTATTTGCTTGCGTCTTACTGGACGTAGGAAAGATCCTGCAAGGAAACCTCTTAGGGCCTACTTAATGATAGTCAAGTTAAGAATATATTTCAGGAACAACTAGGAAAACAGTTAGGCAGCCATGTATGTGATGCCCACCCCGAGGCAGCATGGAAGGATATCCGAAAAGCTGTGGAAACAGCAGTGATATCTGCTAGTAAGGTAAACCGTAAAGTTAGGGAGCAACACTGGATCTCAGCAGCATCTATCGCACTGATAGATGCTCGAAAACTCATTCCACCTGGCTCTGAACATAATGAAGAGCGGAGTCAGCTTAAGCGCAAGCTGACAAGAAGTCTACGCAATGATCGCGAACAGTGGTGGGTAGCGAAAGCAAGAGAGATGGAAAAGGCAGCGGCAATAGGTAATAGCAGACAATTGTTTAGACTCGTTAAGGAAACCGGAATTAGGAACCCGACCGTTAGCGAAACAATCTCAGAGAAAGATGGACATATTATTCATTCTCAATCCAGGAGATTGGATCGATGGGCAGAACACTTTAGGGATCAGTTCAACTGGCCTTCAGCCACACTTCGGTTTCCCACGATCTCCAGTCAACCTGAATGGCAAGTTAATGTAAGTCCTCCGTCCCTTTACGAAGTTGAAAAAGCCATAGGAAATCTGAAGCGAGGGAGAGCAGCAGGCCCTGACAGGTTTACTCCTGAGATTTTTAAGGATGGTGGTCCAGTATTAGCAATGAGATTAACTGAGGTCTTAGGTAGAATTTGGGAACTGGACGTAATCCCATCTGACTGGTCTCAATCACTGATTGTGCCAGTTTTTAAGAAAGGACAAAAGTCCTCTTGTGACAATCACAGAGGAATCAGTTTGACTAATATAGTGTCTAAAATATTAGCCTCAATAATACTTCGACGCCTAACTAAAGCTCGTGAAGAGCAGACTAGAGAAAACCAGGCTGGTTTTCGACCTGGACGTGGTTGTATCGATCAGATATTCACACTACGTCAGGTTCTAGAACAGAGACACACATTCAGACGCCCGACAATAATAGTATTTCTCGACCTTAAGGCGGCATTCGACTCCGTTGATCGTGAGGTTCTATGGCAGTGTTTGTCACTGAAAGGAGTACCAAAGAAGTACATTAACCTTATAAAGGCTCTCTACTCGAACACAACTGGTAGAGTGAGAGCTTATGGCGAACTGTCATCAGAATTGATCACCTCAAGTGGTGTTCGTCAGGGCTGTCCACTCTCCCCATTCTTGTTCAACTTTGTGGTCGACGTACTTTTAGAGATAACACTCTCCTCATCTAAATTTCCAGGGGTTGAACTTCTACCAGGAGGTTCACTTGTTGACTTAGAATATGCAGATGACATAGTTTTATTTGGTGAAGACGCTGACAAAATGCAGAGTCTTCTGACCACTCTAAGCAGCAATGCAAGCATGTTCGGGATGCAATTCTCTCCCTCGAAATGCAAAATGTTGCTTCAGGATTGGGTTACATCGACACCCGAACTAGTGATAGGGAGTGAAGTAGTTGAGTGTGTCGACCGCTTCACTTATCTTGGAAGTCTCATCAGCCCTTGTGGTTTGGTGTGTGACGAAATCTCAGCACGGATACAGAAGGCTCGACTAGCTTTTGCCAACTTGCGTCATTTATGGCGTAGGCGAGATATCCGTCTATCAACCAAAGGACGTGTTTACTGCGCAGCAGTTGGTTCCGTCCTACTTTATGGCAGTGAAACATGGTCGGTAAGAGTAGAGGATATCCGTAGGTTACTAGTATTTGATCATAGGTGTCTTCGAAACATTGCTCGTATATCCTGGGACCATCGAGTAAGTAACACAGTTGTTAGGAAACGGGTACTAGGTAAGGATGGCAAATCAATTGATGACGTAGTGAAACTTCATCAGTTGAGATGGCTGGGACACGTGTTACGTATGCCCTACGACCGACTGCCTCGACGTGCTATGTTCAGTGGTATAGGAGTAGGTTGGAAGAAAGCTAGGGGCGGCCAAACCAAAACATGGCACAAATCCATGAAAACACTGACAAGTGGACTGAGTCATGTTGGTAGGTGTAGACTACCTGGTTGGGGACCGCGAGATGACAGCAACCGATGGTTAGAGACCCTGAATGACATGGCTCAAAATCGTTTGCAATGGCGCAGGTGCATCCACTCTCTGTGTTCTCCCAAACTCTAATCTTCTGAATTCTTCATGTCCCTTTTTTCCTCTTTCCAAATTTCTTTCACTGTATTATACTCTTTAAATAACATCTCCAAACCCTAATCTTCCCGATTACTACTTATACTCTTATTACCTCT